CTAGAGTTCTGCTTATGGCTGTGGTGCCCACTCTGGTTTCCTTGCATGGCTTCAGCTAGGTCCCCCTACCCTTGCCACCCATCCGGGGGGTTGACAGTGTTCTGTTTTTGGTCTCTGAAGCATATCACCTGGGCCAGGAGGAGACAGACTGGTTCGATAAGCCCCGGGATGCCCGCTCGGACCGGTTCAGGCACCACGGGGGCCACGCCGTCTCCTCCTCCTCCCAGAAGCGAGGCCCTGCAAGGCACAGCTACCATGACTACGATGAGCCCCCCGAAGAGGGCCTGTGGCCGCATGATGAGGGTGGCCCAGGACGCCACTCCTCAGCTAAAGAACACCGACACCACAGTGACCACGGGCGGCACTCAGGCCGCCACGCTGGCGAGGAGCCGGGCCGGCGTCCTGCAAAACCACATGCTCGGGACCTGGGTCGCCATGAGGCTCGGCCTCACCCTCAGCCCAGCCCTGCTCCAGCCATGCAGAAGAAGGGTCAGCCTGGGTATCCCAGCCCTGCTGAATATTCACAGTCACCCCGTGTCCCATCAGCATACCACCATGCCTCTGACAGCAAGAAGGGCTCCCGGCAGGCCCACTCAGGGCCCATGGCACTGCAGCCAAAGCCAGAACCCCAGCCGCAGCCACAGCCGCAGGGTCGGCAGGCACCTCTAGGGCCACAGCAGTCACAGCCGGCACCATCCAGGCAGACACCCTCAGCGCCAGCATCGCGCCAGCCGCAGACTCAGCAGCAGCAGCAGCAGCAGCAGCAAGGTCCCGGGCTACAGCCCCCCCAGCAAACCCCATCACAGGCTCGGCTTCAGCAGCAGCAGGGCCAGCCAACTGTCCGGGGCCCAGCCCCTGCTGCCAGCCAGCCAGCAGGGAAGCCTCAGCCAGGCCCTGCGACAGCCACAGGCCCCCAGCCAGCAGGACCGGTAAGCAGGGCTCTAGTGCGTGGATCCTACCTGGGGCGGCTGCTGCGGCTGCAGCTCGGACATCCCCTTGGTTCCAGGCTGGGCATGGGCAGAGTCGATGGGCAGTATCTCAGCTGTGGGTTCTGTGTTGCAGCCACGGGTAGAGCAGACAAATGGCTCTAAAGGGGCAGCCAAAGCGCCTCAGCAGGGGAGGCCTCCTCAGGCTCAGCCACCATCAGGACCTGGACCTGCAGGTGAGCCTACCCTCTGGTGCCCTCCACTACGACCCAGAGGACCTGGCTGCTCTCTCCCTATACCCACCAGCCCTGAGCTCCCCTGCACTGCATGTCCTCCCTACTCCCTGAGAAGGTGCCAGTGGGCTGTAGCCTTCCCAGCAGAGAATGAGCCTGGTGTTAGGACGAGCAATGGGGTCCCCACACTGGAGCCTTAGGGCCTAGGCAGTCCTCTGCAGGGAACCTGGGAGGTACGGGTGAGCACAGGGCCAGCACCCTGACTTCACCCTCTCCTTCCTTCTCTCTTCCAACTCACCTGCCTTTGCCTTTCTCCCTCCTCCTCACCTTCTCCAACTTCCTCTCTGCTTGGCTTCCCACCCCTCCTCCTCATCTTCACCTTTTGATTCCTCTCCCTTCTTCCCCACCCCTCACTGCTGCCAGTGTTCAGACGCCTCCCAGCTTTCCTCCCACTCAGCCAGAGGGCCAGGTCAGGCTTGGCCCATGATGCTGGTTTCTTTCCCCCAGGCATGAAAGCTGGAGCCAGGCCTGGAGGGACCCCAGGGGCTCCCCCTGGCCAGCCGGGTGTCGAAGGGGAGAGTGTGTTCTCCAAGATCCTCCCTGGAGGGGCAGCGGAGCAGGCAGGCAAGCTGACAGAAGGTAAGCACCGTAGGGCAGGCCCTGAGGAATGACTCCAGGCTGTCATTGGGCCCGGGACAGCCTGGTGGTCCTCGCGCTGAGCTTGGCTTCACTGTTCCAAGTCACTGTGACCAAGAGGGCGCCTGGTTCAATTTCCTGATGCCGCTCTCCTTTTCTATGTCACAGCTGTCTCTGCTTTTGGCAAGAAATTCTCCTCATTCTGGTGACCATGCCCTGAAGGGTGAGTATGAGCTACTTGTGCCCTGCCCCAGGAGGGCCTGGGGTGCCCGCGTGGGTGCTCTAAGTCTTGAGGGGTCCTCTGGGAGGAGCCTGGGCTCCAGCGTCCTCTCCTGAGTGTGGGAGAGGGAGGAGGGAAAGGAGGGGCCCTGTGCACAGAAACCCCAACACGGCCAGCTCAGCAGCGGTCCCCAGCCAAGGGAAGCCAGGGCTCCTGTCCCCTTGTCCTCCACCACTGCCTGCCCCCACAGGACCCTCACAGCTACAAGCTGGCATTAGGTTGGGGAGGCTGGGATGCAGTTTCCCCCAACCCTCCCCTGTGCCTGCTCCACAGGCTCTCAAGAGATGAAGGGAGATGATATCATTGCTGTGGAAAAATCTCTGGAGTCAGAGGCCTGGGCGCAGCTCTGGACTCTGCGTATAACAGTGAGTGTCAGGACCAGGGTGGGGTGGGGCAGAGGATGGGGTGAAGGGCCAGCCAGTTCCTGCAAGTGTGGACTAGGAGGGCCTGGTGGGCTTCCTTCGGCTGTGAGCATGCAGTCAATACACTGTTGGCTGCAGAGGCTGAGCTTGTCACCCACAAGAAAAGACAGAATGAGTAGAGAAGAGACAGGGAAAGGACAGAGGGAAGGGGGGGCACTAGGACAGGTAGTCTCAGTCCCAGCCTAAGTCGGCCCAGAGAGAGTAGAAGGGCCTCAGGATGGGAGCTCTGGCCCTGTCCCAACTGCAGTGGCCAAGGCAGGATGAGACACCTCCTACTGGAGCCTTCTCTCGCCATGGCCAAGCCTTTGTGGGGGAGGGGGAGGTATGCCATCTAGGATATCAGGGAGGGTGGCCTGGCCATTGGTGTTGCTCTCTACGCAGCCAGGGCCCACCTCCTAGCAGTCCACAGACCTGGGCCCTCCTCCTCGTTCCTTTGTTATTTCTCAGGTTAAGAGCACAGAGGTCTGGGTGCTTCTCATGGTGGGCAGGTGTGTGTGGCAGGGCCAGGAGGTCAGCAAGCAAGTCAGAAGGACTGCTGGTGGGAAGGAGCTGGGGGTAGTATCAAAGGGGCTGCCTGTCTCTGGAGGAACAGTGGGGGGACTGGAAGGGTCAGTCTTCCATCCACTTACTCAGTTATCCCATAAATGATTTGTTAAGCCCTAGGTTCCAGGTGCCAGGTGTACAGCAGGGAACAAAACCAAGTCCCTGTTTTCTGAAGCTGACAGTCCATTAAGTAGGACAGAGAATAAATAAGTTAAAAGATAAAAATTAGATTAAAAAGGTAATTTCTGAAAGTGATTAAGTGCTATGAAGCCCATGACATAGGGTTCTGAGGCAGAAGGGTTTGTTCTAGAGAAATGACCTGGCAAGTGTAAGACTCGAGAAGAGGCTGCTGCAGGAGTGCCAGGTGAGGGGACAGCACCAACAGAGACTCAGGTGCTGGATGTGACAGGTGGGCTTCAGGGATAGATGGAAGGCCAGCACAGCCAGAGCCATAAGGAGGGAAAAGGTGGCGAGAGGTGAGGCCTGAGTGGTGGGAGCCAGCTGGGGTGGGCTTTGGAGGCCAAAGTAAAGAGCCCGGCACTTACTCTAATTACAGTAGCCACAGTGCAGCACCCCAGTGTCCTTCCTGCCTTCACCCCACGACAGCGAGCTCCCTGCCACTTTCCTGTTCAGCCAGATGTCTCAGAGTTGCCCTGGAAAAGATGTGAAATCAGAAGTTGTGCTGAGGGGAGGGGCAGCCCATGGCCAGCTTCATGGCAGTGTGCACCTTATGTGTAGGGCTGGGGCTCCATCACTGGGAAGGGAAAGGAACCACAGGCATGGCTTTATTCTGTGTTCTGCCACACAACGTGGGTGGGCCACTGGGACTATTCACTGTAGTTAAAGGGATCTCCCTCCAGTTCTGGTGTTTGGCTAATGATCGGGCCAAGCAGGCGGCACTCCTGTGAGTGTCCATGCCCTGCTGTCTATGGCAGTTTGACAAGTGGATTGGGAGAGGTTTGCCATTTTTAACAAAATCCCATCTCCCTCACTCTTACGCAGAACAAAAATCAGTTTGCATTATGTTAAAGAAATGCCCCTCCCTGACCTACCTGACTCTTCTTCCTTCCTGTCCTTCTCTTTGTGACTTCAAAGCTGCCCAAGCACCCATCTCCCTCCCAAGCCTCAGTGGGTGGGATCCCGAGGGTGAGGAGGAGGCGGCCATCAGCGTGTGGCAGACAACTGAGAGGAGTGCGGGGAGGGAAGCAGCTGTCCACAGCTCTCCTGACAAAATCCTTCTTTCTTTCCTTCCTTCTTTCCTCCCTGCCTCCCTCCTGTTCTCCTCCAAGCATCTACAGTCTGGTGAACCCTTGGCACAGACTCACCCGGTGGGACGTGGCGGGCAGCCTTAGTCCAGGCGGGATGTTTTCTAACAGCAGCTGCTGGACAAGCGGGACCACTGGCCCAGGGGACCTTTGATTGTCTTTCCAGAGACCCTGCTCTCCTCAGGGTGCCACCTTCAAGGCATGGCGTGGTTGGGAGGGAGGAGCCCTCTTTGGAAACCCTGCCGCTGCACAGTCCTGCTGCTCTTCCCACAGCCGCCTCTGTGGCCCGGCCAGCCAGGCTTCCAATGCGTTATACACAGAGTTTGGGCACACGCTGCCTGTTTCTGACGGACGCTGCCCTCCCTCCACGATGCCAGAAGTTTTTCCACAGCCTTGGAGTGGGGCTTTGACTGAGGGCTGGGGGCCCTGGGCTCCGTTTCCTTCACATTCCAGCTGGCCCTGATCCCTCTGGCCACAAGGTCCTGCCCCCCTCACCCTGCCCTCAGGGTGACATCGGAGCAGACATCCGTGTGGCTATCGTGGGGTTGGGAGAACTTTACAAACACTAGGACCTAACACTGTCTCATTGCTGAAATAAGAGGCCATAGCACCGAAAAGCAGCGTGGGCGCTGGCTGAGGCTTCTCCCAGCCCGTGGGTGGCAGTGTTCTAGCACGCTGGCCACCATCTCAAAGCCATTCCCCCAGCCATCCTGAGCATCCCAGCGGCACCGCCATTGTCTCGACCAGCCGGCTCCTCCTCCTCACACCTGGGGATTTCTTTTGATTTCAAGAACAGCCTTAATCATTTCGTTTGATTTACGTGTATACCTCATAAGCATTTTTCTTTCCTTTCCCCTTCTCCCCTTTGTCTCTTCTCTCTGCTCACCTCCCTGACTCTCCTCCCTCCACCATCCCTTGTGACTGATGGTTTGGTTTCCTCTCTGCTCTGTCCCTGCTCAGCACAGGGAGAATGTTGACTAAGAAGCAATAGTGGGCAGCAGGCCACCAAGAGCACAACCCCAGGGCGAGGTCTAGGGAGGCCCCTCAGCCCGCCTCTGTTTACTGTGCAATTCCAGTCCTTCTTAAGCCATCACCAGTGGGCATGCTCAGAGCAGAGGGGCCAGGGCTTCTGCCAGCCAAGGGAAGGACCCAGAGCCCTGTGTTGGGGAGTGTGGCACAGTCCACTCAACTGGTGGACTGGGCTACATTCCTCCTCGAGGCCCTTCCCTTCAGGACTTTCTTTTCTCTTGGGCACAGCCACAAGTCTCATCTCTAACGTTCTATGCAATGAAATATAAACCCTCAAAGACAACTGTTAATATTTAATAAATTCCATGTTATGTATAAGGAGTTAATTGCAAACGTGCAATTGAGAAACCGGATAGATACGCTCATATCAACCCCCCAACCCAGCCCACCCAGCCCCTGCTGTGTGTGTGAACTTCTCAGTCTGTGGCATGTTTGACCTGTGGCGGGACTTGCTGCTGCCTGGCGAGTCGCTGCCTGTCCTGCAGTGGAGCATGCACAGCTCGCAGCCTCTTGCACGACTTCATCCATTTTAAATGCTCGACCCTCTCGCTTAGAGTTCTTTTTGCCTCAACCTCTCCTTCAGGAGCGCTTCTAGCTGACCTCTGCACGAGCTAGTGAGGACCTGCTGGGATTGTTGCCTGAACATGCCAGGCTGCGGGCAGGCAGAACGAGGCCCCGTGCACCCTGCACGTTTCTCTGACCGAGATGGCAGGTGAAAGGTGCCTCTGAAGAGGACACGCTGGTGAGGCCTGCACAGGATGTGTGTGCGTGAACATTCAGAAGGTTTCCATCTGTAAATCGCTCCCCTCTAACCTGAACCTTGAGCAGAGGCACCTGGCCACCCGTACGCAGCAGTGCACTGCTCAAGAGCAGAGCTGGGCTGCATCTGTGGCCAGATAGACAGGCTGAGGGCAGGGTCTTGCTGTGTCCTAGGGACCCTAGCTCCTGACCACCTGCTCCATGCCTCTTCTCTGTGACTGGAAGGCTCAAAGGTCTGTGAGCCAGGAGATGGCTCCAGGGGGGCAAAAGGGTGCTCAGGAAGAGCTAAATATCTGACACTTGTGGCAAGGACAGCTGAAAATGTCATCTGGACCAGAGCAGGTGTCCACCGAGACAGTGGCTTCAAGCAGAATTTCTTGGGAGGCTTCTCAATAGCAAAACTTAGAGAAAGTCCTGTGTGAGTCTCTCTGCCTCTGTCCCAGGACCTGCACTCCCCACCCACCCTCATCTCTGAAGCCCAAGCATCCCGCTGCTCATCGGCTTCTCGGCGACTGAGCCAGAGTGCGGCATGCAGTGGCTGCCCACCCCTCAAGGCCTGGCCTTCCTCCAGAGTGCTCTAGTCTGCACCATGCATTTCTCAGGGTCCACATTTTCATGCTTTCCTATAAGGTCTACACAGCCCTTCAGAGAGGGATCCTGGCACACCTCAGGCAGCTTTGGTGGGACAGGAGGCTGTCAATCTCTGTGTTGGGCCTGAGACCCTGGTCCTCCAGGATTTGGGCTTCAACCATCCCATGGGACACCTGCGTCATCTGAGATCAGGCCTGAGCTATGTGAGGCTGGCTGAGCAAGGGCTGAGGGAGGCTGCCATCCACCACCTCTGCCTGCCCAGGGCCAGGTCTGTGTGGGGATGTGCTTAGTGTCTGGACACGTGGGAGCCCAAGGCAGTAATCCTTCCCACTAAAAGCCAGGGGATGGGACACAGAGCAGGGAAGATGGGGAGATGACAGTAAGTAAGCCTCTATCAGACTCAGCCTCAGGCTCTAAAATGCTAACTTTCCAGCAAACAGCCTTTCTGGCCAAGCCCCCTGAGTTTGAAGCTTCTGACATCTCTCACCCCCCCCACCTCCCAGTGTACCCACAGGACACATCTGCACCCTTCACCCCTTGTGAAGGTGGCTGGAGCAGACCTCTGGGCTGCGGGTGTCCTGGGCCTTGTGTAGATGCAGCTGTGGCTCTGGGGACACTGCAGCCAGAGGCTAAGGGACCAACATTCGGTGCCGTGGGCAATGGGGAGCAGCAGGCACATCTCCAAATAGGCAAGGGTCTCTGGGAGGCAGTTCAGGCCTTCTCCATACCTGCCTCCCCAGTGTCATAGCAAGGGCATTGCCTCCTCTGCCCACTCCAGGGCCCAATACACTCACTTCACAGTGACACCACCCCGTCCTCACCATCTGCTTAGTCCTTGGGAAAAGCGTGGTCTCAGGGCCTGTGATGAGAGGGCAGCAACGGCAGCACCTACGGCCTGTCTTCTAGAGCCTGTGGGGTTTCCAGGCAGGTCCTTTGCCATAGCAGCATGGTCCTGGTCTGTTGGCCCCGGCCTGCCCTTGTTTTCCCTCCCCTCATTTTGTAAATACTTGTCGTTGTGGACTCTGACAGGGTCAGAGTGACAGGCCTGATCAACTGAAACTCCTCAGAGATGTCACCTCTGTCTCCCTGGGCACCCGCAGCCCTGCTGCCACATGCACTGGGTGGCCCCGGAGAGCCGTGGAAGTCGTGACATACTGTGTGTATGCATGTGAACCAGTGTGAGTGGGTATGTGTGTGTGTCCGCCTCATTCAGCCTCTGGGATCAAATCAGCTCCTCTTTCCAGGTGCAGTGCCTGGAGGGCGGTAGCCGCCCAGCGCCTTTCCCCTGCTGGCTTCCATGTCTTGTTTTCGCTTTCCCCTCACTCCTTCCCTCCCTCCCTCCCTTTCCTTCTCTCCTTTATTTGAGGGGGGAAGAGTGCTGTACAAAGTCAAACAAACAAGTTTACAGTTGTAAGTGCAATGACCCGAGTCCTCCACATGACCTTGTGAAATGTGTGCTGTCCTCCTGTGCTCTGTGAGAACTCGTGGTACTTCAGTGTCCCTCCCCTGTATTGTGACAAGGTAATTCTGTGGTATCAGAATAAAAGGACTTGATATAACAATCTACAGACTGCCTCTGGGATGGTTTCTGAAATGGGAAGGCTTAGCCAGAGGAACAAATCCCCAAACTTGTGACAATCCTGTCTGTTGACAGTCAAAGGGAGAAGACTGAAAGGGCCACGTTGCAGAAGTGCTGGCAAGGCCAGGGCCAAGTCCACACCAAGCAGTCCCAAGACAATGGCCTCCCACAAAGGCGCCCCAGGGCAGGTCCCAAGCTTGGCCTTGGAGGGAGTCTTAGTTCACTGCGCAGACTGTTGGGTGGTGCCTCCTTGCGGGTGAGTTCCCGGCTCCACAAACAGCTTTCGGTGGCCTGGTGGGGGGAGGGGGAGCAGGTGCTGCCCCCTGGTGCTGCCAACAGATCCTGCAGCCTTCTGCCTTGCTGGGTGGGCTGCCACACCTCAGTCCTCCAGAAGGACAGGAGAACCTTCTAAGGAACCGGAGCTGCTAATTTTAAAAGCAGGTAAACAAAAAGAGGATCAACCTTGCCTCTAGCCGTCCCCACAGAGTTAATGTCTTTTTTTTTTTAAATATGCTTTTATTGATTTTTAGAGAGAGAGGGAGGGAGAGAGATAGAGAGGTAGAAACATCATCAATCGGCTGCCTCCTGCACGCCCCCTACCAGGGATCAAGCCCACAACCCGGGCATGTGCTCCGACCGGGAATCCAACTGAGGGCCTGGGCCAGTGCTCAACCACTGAGCCACAACAGCTGGGCCAGAGTTAGTATCTTGAAGCATGCCCTTCCTATTTGGGTTTTTCTATTCTTTTTAATTTTAAACAGAAGTTAGAAGGTGCCATACCTCCCATTTATTTCTACATGTTCACCCCAGGAACTTAAATGACCATCCCGCAGGGCCCAGCCTCTAGAGAGCTGCACCATGAGTTTATAGCCTACTGCACATGCCCTGCAGGACAGGCACCATGTTCCCAGCTTTCCCATTGTAAACAACACTGTGATGGACATCCTGGTTTCCAACCTTTCCACCCAGATTGGTGGCTGCGGCCACTCTTCCTGCTCCCAGTTCTGGCCTTCACTTCTTGCACACACTGATTACTCACAAATGCAAGTGGCCTCAGAAAGTAAGGACTGTTTTCACTTAACTAGCCCGATGCGGTTGATGGGGAAGGGGAAGCTGCTGGCCAGACAAGTGGGATCTTGGTCAAAGGCAAGGCAGGGCACAGGGAGTCAGGGCCCTGAAGTGTGGAAGTCCAGCCAGGCTCTGGTTGATGGGGAAGGGGACATCCTTGCTGGCCCAACTGCTGCCCAGCCTCTCCTGCCCTCCTTTGCCATCATAGCCCACTCAGTCCTGTGCCACTGTGCTGAGGGGGCCTGCGTGCCCACGTTCTTTGTACAGGAAGCGCCCTGGTTCTGGGGGCAGCTGGACCCCACCAGGCCCTCTGCACCCAAGAGCTTAAGCTGAGGCCTGGGGAGGCAGGCAGAAGCCCACCTGCTCAGGATCCCAGCAAGGTGCCACTGAGCAGGGTGGGTGAGGGCTGAGGGGAGAGATAGCTCTTGGGGTTGGCCTGGTAGCTGATAACCCCAGGCGACAGCCCGAGAGCTCAGCAACCCGCCCTTTGCCCCGCACCCCAGCGCTCACCGGGCAGCAGATCTACGTCTCTGTCTCCACCTGCCTGTGAGCCCCACCGAGGTGAGGGTCTGGCACCGTCTGGTGAAGGTTTGCCCCGTATTGTACCAGGAGGGACGGGACAGGCAGCCCCGGAGCTACGGGAGATTCCTGCTGGGGCGGGCTCGGGCCGCACGGGCCTCTCCAGGCCGGGCCCTGACCCTACCAGTGGCCGTCTGACCCTCACTGGCTCAGCCAGTCCGGCCGCTGCCTAGGGCCCACCCCACTCAGCTTAGCTTCGGTGACCTCACAGCCGGGTCCGCACTCAGGCCTCACCCCCTTCTCAGTTGTCCCCGCAGGTCTCGCCGCAGCCTGGAGACCCCCTCCTGTACTCCGTTCCCACAGTGCCACCCACTCTCCTCCAAGATCCTATTCCCTCCCCTGCAGGGCAGGCCTGCGGCTTGGCCTCCGACG